AACCACCTAAAAACTGTTGCACGAGAAGGTGCAGAGTCCTCTAATGCTGACTGCAAACGTTCCAAACTCAATTGTTCAGTTAAACCACATTTAAAATCATAGAAGATCATAGCACGCAAATGTTCACGGTTAAGATCCATTATTGCAAAGAAAAAGCGCGGGAAGCGTTGTAGTAAAATGACTAACAATGTCATTTTTTTTTAATTTAGCTAAATTGCTTTTGGTGATTTAAATAAATTTGCTTTTTAAAAACATATAATACGGGTGCGTTCCATTTTTAAATTTCGAGCATCTCAAAACTTATTGAGTGCCCTACGTATAATAAAAAGGCGTTACCCTGAACGCAAGGTCGTTTATGTAATATATTGTTTTTATGACAATGATTACGTGTAACGTGTTATCACGATTACATTTGTAACAAAAATTAATCAAAGCATGCTTCATGTTCTGTGATTAGATAAAAGATTACACTCATTTACATTTTATATCGTTATCACTTAATTGTTTTTATGGATTGTATTATGTCATCTTGTTGGTATATTTTTTGAAACAGAAATTTGCGTACAGGTTTTCGTTGTTTTATTTTGAATGGAATTACACCTGTTTGCCAAGTTTTATTGAAAACGGCTAAAGGAAAGTGGGTGAAATTAAAAAAACCGTATTCATCCCCTAATTTGCTACCCCTAGAGTTGGAATATTTTCTACAAATTTGAATGGGATAAACACTGAGTTATACCCATTTTCCAACAAACTAAGAATTTTTGAAATCGGTTAACAAATGTCGGAGTGTTTTCATAACAGTTGCAGTGCCACTTAGAGCTTTTAATTTTAATCGCAAAAATCTAGGGGCTGTGTGATACTGTGCCCGTCACCCTGAGACGTAAGTTGGCAAGTCCCATGTGCCTGTAATTTCACAAGCACCCTTAGGGTGCACTTATTCGATACGAATTTCATCGCGCTCACCCCGCGCGGCGCGTGTGTTAGAAAAATCATATGTGTCTACTAATTACTACATTCTATTATAAAGATGTTAAACGTCTATGAAATTCAAAAGCATAATTTTAGTAAACCAAATTTATTTCCATTAGAGGGTAGTACAAAATGGATGTACATACTAAAAATTGTTTGCGAACTAATTTTAAAAACAAAATGAAAAGCAGTACTTTCAAAAACATGACTCAGTTTTAATTTCTACAGTTGGTACAAAACAATAATGTTTGTAATTTTGTTGTAGTAAAAAAATAATTTGAGAAACAAGATAAACAAAGTATAAGTAATAGCTCTTCTAAAAGGATGGCTGTACTAGTATAAAGAAATTAATTAAAATGGACAGGTTAAAACAACAATTACTTATAAAGGATTGCAAGACTAATCACACATTTAGGTACATAAACTATGCAAAAGCGTAGTAGCAATAATTTACATTATTACTACCAAGGAAAGAGACATTACTTATATTTACGCAATACAATTAGACAGTAGCAATAGAACAAGTTACAAAGCAGGCAGCAAACTTATCTTTAGCTGGTTCTCGGTTCGGCACTTTTTCTGTCTCCTCCATTTTTCAAATCCTTTTTATACCCTTCAAAACCTCCTTTGAAATTCATTCATACATACATACTATTTTGACCAATCACAAAATAATTATCGTTTACATTTGTACAGTGCTGAAGAGAATGAAAGCTTTTACCTAACAAGTTGTTGAAACATATTTTAAGAACTATAACAGTTATAAGAACCTCATAGTTCTCTTAATTAAGCAGATATAATTAATTTTATACACCATAATATCGTCCGATGACAGAACAGTGTTTCTTGACTCACTTGGTTGAGCATAAATAGTAAATGTTATGCATTACAAGGGAATAAAGTAACAAAGGCAATAGATATTTAATTACTGTAATAATTATATAAATCTCGTAATTATCTTAATTTAGCAAATATCAACAACAATTTTATATACTATAATATCATTCAATCACTGAGCAGCATTGTTCAGTACACTTGTTTGAACATTTAATAAATATTATACAGTACTAAGATGTAAAGTAAAAACTTCAAGAATATTTTATTGAGTGTAGCAACTATTTATCCACGTCGTAGTTATCTTAATTTAAAAAATATCATTAATTTTATAAATCATAATATAATAGTCCAAAATGGAAGTTTATCAAAAAGGCAACCTTTCAAAATGCAATGGTGAAAGTATAACAGATAAATTGCGATGTATTTCAGATAGTCATTATTAATTCAAACGAGAATTATGAAACCATTAAAATGACTGAATATTATGTATTTTAGGAAAGTAACCTTATTTCACAAGTTTTGTTTAAAATAAGGGACTTACAGAGGCTCCTATATTTACGAGAAACCTGGTGGCCACACTTATAAATTTTACATGGAATTTGTAGGTGGCGTTAGTTCATGCCCAATTATATTGAACTGTCATAGCAAAATACGCTCTAGTAGAGACTAGCTGAATTTGGTACGCGCGGCGGCCTCGCGGCGACCGCGTGGTTGTATTATTTAGAGGAATTTAAATATTGTTGCCTAGTAAATAGAATTCAGATTCGCCATTAATGTACGTGAAAGCGTGGTATGTGGGCTGTCGCCGCGCGTAGGTACTGTTTCAAACCGGAACGTTGTAATGCTCACATTACAGCTTGGCGGCAGAAATAGGTAAAATGGCAGTACTTCCCTGGACGAACTCTTTCACAAGCTCTACTGCTACAAAAATAATAAAAATGCAGATAAATTGAGAATTTCCTCCTTTTCGAAGTCGGTTAAAAAATATATCGCACCTCCGGTAAAACACGACACTTAATTGAAAAATATTGTAAGTGTAATTTGTACTAAAAAATAGACAAATTATTCATTCCTTAATCTTTCCATAGAACATTTAAGAGCTTTTCAAATGTGCTCAACAGCTCTAAGAACTAAACTTTTTATTGTTTTCTGTAAATTTTATAATTGTAAGTTAAATGACTATTAATGAACAAACATTCATGTACAGTCAACAGCACATCAAGCTACACGTTGACGTATCTTGTTCCGTTGCACTGGAGGCGATTTTCGAATAAAAATGGGTAGTCTGATGTGCCGTTGTCCGTACATAATACAGAGCATCCCACGGCGACGGCACAACTAAATAAACACACTATAAACCGACAAAAATTAACCACTTTTAAAGAACCATTTTTGTTTATTTTAACTTTCTCTTGACCAAAGTAGGGTCTTACGATGGAAGGAGCTCGCCCAGAGATGCCAATTCATGGCATCTTAAAAATACTCGGGTTGTGTGTGATGAGAAACACAGTCGCAAGCAGGGAATTACATTCCTGGGCGCATAGTAAGTAAATGGGATGTCATGGGCATTCTCACCGTTGTTTATTCTATAGACACGTTGTTTATTAGATAGCGTGTACTCGCGTAGATTTTCTCCTATAGTTCGCCCCTCTGCCTGCTAATTAAATTTTCATGCGGGTTCAGTCTCCAGGTCAAATTCCTTCATGAAAAAAAGAATATGTTGTCGGAATCGGTATTTTACAGGATATATCACGGCTTTTTCCTTTCCATCATCGGAGAACTAGGCGTAGACTTGGGTTCCACCCCTATACTGTGTATATTCCAAAGATTCGCACGAAGCGTTACGCTTCCACATTTATATGGCGAACGGCTATGGAGTGGAATTCCCTGCCTACAGATTTGTTCCCTGAACGTTATAACTTGCACCTTTTCAAGGCGAGAGTGAATAGGCATTATTTAGGTGCGCATGCTACATCGTCGACCTTATAGTCACTTTCCATCAGGTGAGATGGAGGTCAAATGCGCACTTACTTTTTATTAAAAAAAAATCTAGTGTGGCACGACACTGCTTTCCACCTTTGTGGGACAGCTGGTTGATAACCCTATCTGTTAGAGCGTTTGCTTACTACGTCCCTATCGTATCAGGGGACGATCTCCGTCCGACATCCGTCCTAAACAATTACTGTCAAATAAATAATATTCGACAAAATTAAAAGACAGTATCAAGTATGAAGCTTCAATCGCATCACCCGTCTTTTCATAGGTGACTCGAATCTTATTTAGAGCACAAGCGATATCCGAAGTGGATCCGAGTTTTCTAGATTTGTATAGTCTCGGATTCGCGAATCCGAATTGAATGCAGTGCGTAAATGCCCTAAGGGGTTGCACGACGTACTGTTTGATGTTTGTTTGTTTGCATTGACTTACAAATAAATGGACGACGGGTCTAATACAAAAACCACGAAAGAAATGTCCCAAGTCAACCTATTCGAAATTTAAATTGTAATGTCATCGCAGTATCGCGCTGTCAGTCGAACAAATGAAGACTAAAGCGGAGTTTGGCGCTCTGTATACGATTTTAGCGCCTTACAAGTGCGGACACTTTTTAGCGCGGACCCGACGTCCATATAATTGTAAGTCAATGTTTGTTTGTGAGATTGTTAGTTGTCGGTCAACTACAGTAACATCTTAGCTTAGTTGGCATAGCGTCTGGCACCGTTTGCTGGAAGACGTTGGTCCGAATCCAACCGGATCGAAGGATTTTTTTCTTCGTAACGTTTTATTTATCGTTGGACGACTGTCGCGTGTAGCTGTTCCCACTAGATCGTGACTGCAATTTATCGGATCACGGCAACCGCCATGTCGTTTGCACGACAGAATCGTTTGCAGCTGCGATTGTCTATCGTCACATTTTTATCCTGAAGTTTCACGACGAAATGCCGTGAACGACAGTTAATCGTGTGGTTCTATGTGTGAACAACTTCATTTCAACATACAAGCCACAACACTTTAAACTGTACGACTATCTGCCGTCGCGACATTATGGGAACGCGCCCTAAGTGTTCGATCTTTCTATTAATAACTCATATAACGAAGTGGCGTCTTAATTTTTACTAATTTCCTTCCTCTACGTACTCGATTGTCCTACAAGACTGTTTGATTTTAATTTCGAATATTGTTCTATATGATTACAGGCATATAGCGTCAGGCACGGCGCTGGTGCCCTGCAGGTTCGCCACCTTCGAGCAAAGCACTATCTGGGAAGACGAGCTGGGAAAGAATCCATGGCTTACGAAAGAGGTATGGTTTTTTTACTACCATTTTTTTTAATTGAGGAAACAGTTTTTTACATTTATAAAAAAAAAGAACTTATTACAAAACCTATAGTTCCCCGTACTTATAGGTGAACAGTGTAAGGTATAACTGACGTGACCATTATTCGTTTTCCCCCAGGAACGTCTGTAAATTTATTATTGTTTTAAAAATAAAACACATATTTGTGATAGTTACGAAATATTTAACGATAAAAAAAAAGAATGGCGACATCCCGTGTATTTTGTAACCTAGTGTTTTTGGCGACGACGCGCAAATTCATTATCGTAACATAATAAAAGCTAATTGAATACAGCCTGTAGAAGCTGGGGTTGTCAGGTTGATATAGGTTATGTTTATAACATTGTCCTGTATTTCGCTTCAGATGTTTGTTCGTAGTAGCCATCGAGTGCCTGTATAATCAGAAATAGAGACAAAATAAGGACCATTCATCCCTGGCAAGATGAGTGGCAAATGGGCCTTATATCACTTTTAAATATCAACCCTCGTTTGCACTGAAATCACAAATTAGACAGCTGAAATATTACAGCGCCAACAACTGAGCTGTGTGTACGTCGCCGTATATTCTGTATTTTTTGTAATAAAGATAATATCCCTAACTATGGGGGGCTGTTCCATTCGTTGGTGTGGGAAAAACAGCAAAATATCTAATCACAAAACAAACGTAATCACATTTCGTCGGTAATTAAATATTGTATATGTAATTTGTCAATTGTCGTCCGTTATATACAGTTCAAGTTAAACTTTTCGATTTGAAGTGAAACAATCAACGACACCTGTCAATTGTTTGGAATTCGGGCTGGCCAATAGGAGCACAGTTGTCACCGTAATAATAAGGCAGAATAGTTTTCAAACAATTTAAATGACATTTCGTCTCTATTTCTGGTTATATACTCGATGGCTGCTATGAAAGGTTGTAAGTCAAGCCAAGCGACCAGTTTAGCAGTATACTTTTAGATTCGAATGCTGATTTTTAACCGACTTCAAAAAAGGAAGAGGTTCTCAATTCGACTGTATGTTCTTTTTTTTGTATGTATGTTATGCGATAACTCTGGTATTTGTGAACCGATTTTCATGATTCTTTTTTTGTTGGAAAGAAGGTATTTCCATAGTGGTCTCATTTCATTTTGAAGAAAATCATCCACCTCAAAGTGTGGCTGTTCACGCATGAAGATTCATTTTTACAAATAGCGCCTAACTTTAATTTAGGAGCAATTACTTTTAGCAATTATTTACTTGATTTTGCTATTTCTCCAATTCAAGGCGTTTTTCTCTCCATATACTTTGAGTAGTGTCGTAGTGAGAACCTATTTTTATTATCTCCAGTATCAAGTTCTGTATAGTGGCGAACTAGGTGATATTTCAATGAAACTTAGCAAATAGACGTAATTCCACGTACTTTTGAGGTCGGTTTTTTTAGTAGTCTGTACCGAGATTATTTGTAGAACTATTGGGCTCATGAAATTGGTCCGAACATGGTGTTAACTTATGGATAGTGTCTTTATTATTAAAAAACCCATTGTACTTCCTCCACAGCAACTGGTAGTGAAGCCCGATCAGCTAATCAAGCGTCGCGGCAAGCTCGGCCTGGTGGGCGTGAACAAGACAGCAGCTGAAGTCCGCCGGTGGCTCAGCGAGCATATGGGAAAGGAACAGACAGTGGGAGCCGCGCAGGGAAAGCTACGGCACTTCATTGTAGAACCTTTTGTCAAGCATGAACCGGTGAGAACGAGCTCATTTTTTACCTGACTGCGGGAGGGTTATGTTTTTCAAGTGTATGTATGTATCAGTGGCGAGGCGTCCATACAAGGGTGAGGCCAGACGAGAGCGTAATTTTGTGAGTTGTGAGTTGCGTTTTTTGAGTTTCTCAGTTTGCGCTCGACCGAAATTCGGTTGGAGCGCCAGACGAACGTATTTTATTCAGTTGCTTTTTAAGCGCTTATACTAAAGTATTCCCTCACCCCCGCCTCCACACGCGCCAGCCCTTCTCTTAATGCGACCGAAAGTCAGTCGTCATACGCCCGTGAGTCGGCAGTTAACTCATTTTGCGTCGTCGTGTGAAACAAACCGTACTTTTATATGAAATCGAATGCAGCGCAAACAACGCAACTCAAACTACGCGACTCACAACTCACAAAATTACGCTCGTCTGGCCTCATAACTCGATTCCCACCGGCTTGCTTAAAATTTCACACGTATTATCAAATATTAGAAATATTTTAAAGTAATTTACTACATTTTAAATTATTATTGAATTGATATTCAATAATTTTTTAGTGAAATTACTCCACTAGTTTGTTATAATTATTAATACAAACATCGAACGCTCACAAAAAATTCCTTCGAACCGACGTCTTCTAGCTTACCGTGCGTGAAAATCAATTCAATAAAAATTTAAAATACAGCGAATAGCGTCATCTCTCGCCAGGACTGGTAACTGTAAAGGTACTAACTGAGCGATAAATCTTTCATAGATTTCTCATAGATGGCGCTACGGCTAAAAAGTCGTTGAAAAAACCAAATACAAAGACACGACGCAAGCACATAGAAAAATTCGTGAGGTCCGCTGGTTCGTTCCGTGGCTTAGTTGGTATAGCGTCTGTCACGGTATGCTAGAAGACATCGGTTCGAATCCGACCGTTTCTGAGTGTTCGATATTTGTATTAATAATTATAACAAACTAGAGGAGTATTTTCCCAAAAAAGTAATTGAATATAAATTCAATAAAAATTTAAAATAAAGATTTTTTTATTTATTATTTTTTACAGTCATAGTCCTGCTCAGTTGGTATTGCTTAGTTGGTATAGCGTCTGGCACGGCAAGCTAGAAACACGTCGATTCGAATTCGGCCGGATCGAAGGAATTTTTTCTGAGTGTTCGATCTTTGTATTAATAATTGTAATTTACTACATTTTGCGCTCACTTTTACATGTACAATAATTAACCAATGAAATAAAGTTACGTTACGTACGTTAGTTAAGTAAGTTATACTAGTAAGTATCTCGTGTGCCAATAAGTGTTGTGTTTAAATTGTATCTAAGGCGCCACTTGTTAAGGCAAGTGTATATTGTTTTGCTTTGGCTTTACTAAAGACAATTTTCACTCCACTAACTAAAATGCAGTTAAGTGACAAAATATTTTTCTAAGATACTATAGAAAACCATAACCCAGTTTTAGAATATTGAAATTGTTTAATGACATTTCAGCTATTCATCGTTAGGGTATGTTTCGGAAAGTCGAATACGTTAACTAATTTTAACTGTCTTTAAAAGAGAATTATGTGCTCCATTTTTTGCTATTTCAAACGGATATTTGACCATTTGTCACTTAGCTGCGTTTTTGTTAGTGGACGTCAGCACTGATATGTACGTCCATTTATGTGTTTTCCTGTGCAGCCTAAAAGACTTAATGGATTTCGACATATAATAATAATAATGTAGGTCATTGTAATATTTCTCCCGGCCCGGGAATCGAACCTAGGACCTCGTCTTAACGATTCTCACGCACACTAAGAGGTGCTAAAGGGTGCTCGATTTTTTACTTTTGACACGTATTGATCTAGAATCCCATGAAATTAAATGTCATTATATGGTCGGTTACATCACCGCGAGACTGCAGCTTCTGTCAGAGAGGTTCTTTGAAATTAGATAAAAAAAAATTTTAATTGATGTGCGAATAAAAAGCAATTAAACAAGTAATTCGTTTTTTTTTTAAATTGGTGCATAAATGTGAAACATTAAACTAGTTTTTTTTCTAAACTGGTGCGTGAGTAAAAATTCATCAAAATTTTTTTTAACACACTACCATAGAGCACTAGAGAAACCCTGTGTCGCGGGTGCCATGGACACACACAAATTACACCCAAACTCACGAGATAAATAAATGCAGGTCATCATTGACCTTGGTAGGTCAATGTAGGCCATTCAAATATTTCTCCCGGCCCGGGAATTGAACCCGGGACTTCTCACGTTGCAGTCCAGCATGGTAACCGTTCGGCCACGGAGACAGTATAAATAATAAAAATATTTTTTGAATACGTGATTTTCGATAAATCAAAAATATTACATTCGGTGTTTCAGAACGAAGAGATGTACCTGTGCATCCAGTCAGGCCGTCGCACTGACACAATCCTGTTCCACCACCAGGGCGGTGTGGACGTCGGCGACGTCGACGCGCTCGCCGTCAGGCTTGAGGTGAGTTTAAGATTGTCACTTCCACCGCTGCGCCTTTGCTTCTTGACTACAGTTATCTGCAGCAACGATGCGAAGATCTATGTTCTGAATTCTGAAAGATCTGTGAACTGTAGTATTTTGTCGTAAAACGATGCCGGTGCGTCTGTCACTGCGGAACGCCGACAGAACGCTCGGGCCGGAGTTATGTGAACGACCTTGCTCAGTTTTGCTCCGGTGTCCCAGTCCCCCGCTCGCCCCACCTGTACTCCCCGCGTGCCATTTTGGTGTTCATCCAAAGAGGATGCTGTCATGCGAAAATAATTGAAGAACTTTGACTCGTTATTTCTCTGTTGGCCCATTAATGTTTCAAAAGTTCCAAGTTAAAATCTTTCCCGTAAAATAGGATGTACCCAATGTTTCTTTTTTTACCTTGTTAAGCCTTCTAAGATACCACCACAACACCACGATTTCGTCGTCCTTCGTGCGATTTTTTCTACGACTATTTTGCCGTAGCACCATCTGTGAGCAATAGACTATATGGTATGATTTGCTAGCAGACGTTGAATCGAATCCGGCCGGATCTAAGGATTTTGTTTTGTGAGTGTTCGGATTTTTGTATTAATAATTATAACAATCTAGTGGAGTAATTTCACAAAAAATGATTGAATATCAATTCAATATAGATTTAGTTACAGTTAATAGCGAAATCTCAAGTCAGGGCTGATAGCTGTAGAGTTACCTGAGTGACGAGATACTTTCATGTATTTCTCATAGATGGCGCTACGGCTAAAAAGTCGTTGAAAACCAAATACAAAGCGCCGACAACAACAACAAGCACATAGAAACATTCCTAAGGTTCGCTGGTTCGATTCGTAGCTTAGTTGGCATAGCGTCTGCCACGGTTTGCTAGAAGACGATGGTTCTAATCCAACCGGATCGAAGGAATTTTTTCTAAGTGTTCGATTTTTGGATTAATAATTATAATAAACTTATAACAATTTAATAATAATTGTATTACGTGTTTGTCAGGTACCCGTTGATACATTCCCGACTAGCGAAGAAGTTGAACGAACTTTGCTGAAAAACGTCAAATTAGCGTCCATTAAGAGGTGAGCACATCCATCTGTACTTGATTTTTTTACCATATAAGCGACACGCCTACTCTATTGTAATGCCATAGTATAAAAGTCGCTTGGAGCGTAGCTCCTAGGGTTGTCACGTTATTATTTTTGTTGTACCACGGACCAACAACTCAAAAGGATTGTTAACCTCCATACCACAGATCGTAACTCTGAAAAATGTAAAAATTCCGTCGTATATTTAGTTGCCGCTAATCAATAGGCTGGAAGTAGAACTAGTGATGGGTCATAGAAAAATTTCCATTTTGAAAAAAGAATTCTGAACATATTTCCCATGTTTCCACATTTCACAGTGACACGTTTCAAAAGTTGAAGATACTGAACTCTATAATGAGAATGTGTGAATAAGAAAAGCAGGGCTTAGAAAATGACATTTAACAATGTTTATACAATATTATTTTATAATTCAAGTTAATTAAAGCTACATATCTACAGGTAGGACATAATATTCCAAATCTGAAATAACCTAATGTTATTATACTTCATTAATTTCACGAATTATAAGTTCATAGTAGGTCCACTTTCGAATTCTGCCTCCTAAGATATAGGACCCATTTAGGACATATACATATAGGACATTAGAAGGCAGGATAATCTTGTGATTGTTTTCTTTGAAATTCAAATTATAAAAAAATTTTAAACAATATATTAGTTATTATTTATATAAATAAACATCATTATTATAATGAGTTTTCGAGTTACTGATATTTTTCAAATTTTTCAGAATTTTTTGGTAAAATTTCCACTGTTTAAAATTTTCGTATAATTACCCAACACTACCGACAACATAATAGAGTTAATTCTTTCTTTCAGAATACTCACCACCTTCATACTGTCTCTCTACCGGGTCTACGTAGATCTCTATTTCACCTACATGGAAATCAACCCTATAGTGGTGACCAACGAGCGTATATACCTCCTCGATCTAGCCGCCAAGTTGGATCAGACGGCTGACTTCATTTGTGCCAAGAATTGGGGTGAAATTACCTTCCCTCCCCCCTTTGGACGCGATGCTTATCCTGAGGAGGCACATATTGCTGATTTGGACGCCAAGAGTGGAGCCAGTTTGAAGGTCAGTGCCTTTGTATCTTTTTTTAATAATACTAAGTGACTTGATGAAAAATTCGTGCGTATGGTGGTAAGTGACACGCCTGTCCATGACAGTAGCAGTGCCGCTCAAAGCTTTAAATCATAAAGATTTGATGGGCACTGCGTTTGACACCCTGAGACATTGACAAGTCCCATGTGCCTGTAATTTCACTAGCACCCTTACCCTTCGAAACCGGAACGCAGTAAGAACGCAGTTATGCTCACATTACTGCTTGGCGGCAGAAATAGGTAAGATGGCAGTACTTCCCTGGACGAATTCTTTCACATGGAGCTCTACTGCTACAAATATTCAGCATTCAGTACATATTTAAATTTTTTTCGGGACTCGCAAGTCGCTGACATTCCTAACTAAAACAGTTGCAGTTCTACTCAGAGCTTTAAATCGCAAAGATCTGTGGATTGCAACATAAAGTTGACAAGTAGGTTTAAGACATTTAGGGTCGTATTCTAGAACTCTACTCAATGCTCAAGTCAAGATTTGAGTATGGTTTAAAGCACTCGAAATCATACTCAAGTCCCTGCCATTACGATCGTATTTCCAGTGCTTGAAATGATACTCAGACCCTGACTTGAGCATTGAGTAGAGTTCTGGAATACGACCCTGAATCTCACTAAGAGCGGTTACACATGGCGACTTCTAGCAGCGATGCAAACGTGATGCAGTCGCTAATTGTCTACTACAAACGCGCGACTGCATCGATACAAACGCGCGATTGCATCGCTACACTTGGGATTTATTACAATAACTTAGAATAATGACTGAAAAATCGCTAAATAGCACGCACCCACCCAAAGCCATTAAACCAAAACTTGACTTGACAACTTGACTGGGAGCGATTGAGTTGTATATAAACGCACACAGTAGGTATATTTATATTTTTTTGCTATATTTATGTGCTTTTACCATTGACTTACAAATAAATGGACGACGGGTCTAATACAAAAACCACGAAAAAATGTCCCAAGTCAACCTATTCAAAATTTAAATTGTAATGTCATCGCAGTATCGCGCTGTCAGTCGAACAAAAGAAGACTAAAGCGGAGTTTGACGCTCTGTATACGATTTTAACGCCTTACAAGTTCGGTCACTTTTTAGCGCGGACCCGACGTCCATATAATTGTAAGTCAATGGCTTTTACGATCTATAATATAACACAATGTACAAAGAACACATACACAAATATTTAAGTAGTTTATTTTAAGTTCTTTTATTTCATGACACACACGTCTGTCACTCATCTAGGCTCAGGGCTAATTGAAAACCAGCGCCACATTGAATCACATTTATTAGGGTAGGCAAAGGTTCCACCATATAGCCTCATAATGTATTTGGACGAAAGCCAAGCAAATGCTACAAAACAAAACCAAAGAGATCGAATAGAACTGATCGAGTATCGCATATCGCACTGTTAATATAATAGTGTATTAACTCAAAAAGTGTATTTTCTCAGAATCTATGAAAAACGAATTACTCACTTACCGTGAAAGATTGTTTGTATTAGAAGTGCGATATGTTATTTTAACCAATTTTTTTTTTTAATATTTATGGCTTGGTTGCAAGACTTTTAGGCTAATTTAACCAATCACGAGGCAAGGTAGCGTTTGAGTAACGTAAATATGACGTTCTTTTTTTGAAACTTAATATAGTTCTGTGTACAATACTATATACTTATTGTAGTTCATTAAATTTCATTCAAGATCTCTAACTTTGATGAAATTTTTGGTCAGTGGCCAGTACCATAGACAATTGAATTTTGATTCAGAACTAAAGAGAGCGCTTTTAAGATATGGTTTATGAAATTATAATTGACGGATAAAATATATGAATATGATGGCAAAACATGCGTCAAGGTGAAATTTTAAAGGACGTGAATGTCAATTGAGAAACAATCGTTCTATAATTACAGTTAACCATTCTGAACAAGTCGGGTCGCATCTGGACCATGGTCGCTGGAGGCGGCGCGTCGGTCGTGTACACGGACACCATTTGCGAGCTCGGCGGCGCGGCGGAACTGGCCAACTACGGAGAATACTCCGGCGCACCCACTGAAAGCCAGACCGCCGACTATGCCAAGACCATCTTCAGCTTAATGTGTAGAGAGAAACATCCCAATGGAAAGGTATGTATTTCTTAATTCATAATCAATGATCAGAAAATGTTGCGTATATTCTAAACGTTATAAATGATAATATTGACTCCTTTGACTTATGGGGTGATATTTCGTTTATTGTACCTACTCGTTCTATGAGACACTATCACCCTATTACAGTTCCCTTAGCGAGGACGATCTATAGACAAATTAGTTTTCTATGTAGAGCTAGCAAGAGCTTGGATGGTGTGTGAGCAATCATGACCTGGAAGTTGATATATTCAATTGTAATGTTGATGCGCTAAAGCGTAAACTCACGGACATTCTATTTACCTAAGTTTATTAAATAAATTGTGATTAGCGCAGGTATTGGGTTGTTATTATTATGTATGTGCATGTTGTTAAGATATACTGTTTATTGTTCCATTGTTTAACGCTCGTGTATGATTTGTCTGAAGTTATAGGTGGAAACCTGTAATTGGCTTTGTTTATGTTCCTGTTTTTTATTAAATGTAAGAAGCTGTTGGTTTTCCATTAATGAATAAATAAATAAATAAATAAAATGTGTTCCACATACATGTATATTTATATACAGTTATCTACTGCATTTTTTACAGGGCATTATCAGAATTACTTTAAAAGTAACTAACTTGGTCGTAGTAGTGGAAATCCGGAATTCAAAAAGTATTTCATTAATGTTTGGTGGTGGTTTTAACAACAGTATGTCTCTTGGTGTAGCTGTATTTATACATGTATCTATATATGTGGAACACTTTTTTTCCGACCATTGTTCATAACTCATTGTGACAGCACAGGTTGTATAACAATGCGCTACTTACTATTTTCATAGATTGCTCATAGACGTCGCTACGGCAATAATAAATCTTTAAAAACCAAAAACAAAGATCTGAAACAAGCGCATAGACAAATTTGTAAGGTCTGCTGGTCGTCCCGCACCTCAGTTTCTAAAAGGATCGGTCACGGTATGGCCTAGACGTTGGTTCGAGTCCAGTCGAATGAATTTTTCTTAGCGTTCGATCTTTGTATTGATAATTATAACAAAATTGTTGAATAATTTTATAAAGATCACGACTTGTATTACTTGACGTGTAGGCAATGTACTTCTTGTGTATTACTTGTTACCCCAGTAGGCATTAATGAACTCCATAAAATTGCCTCCGTGGCCGAACGGTTACCATGCCGGACGCCGCGCAGAGGTCCCAGGTTCGATTCCCGGGCCGGGAGAAATATTTGTATGGCCTACATTTATTTCTCTCGTGAGTTTGGGTGTAAGATTTCCAGGTAAGTTTGTGTTTTTTTTTTATCGTGAAAATTTTTACGGATCGTGTTTTCACACTATATAGTAATCAATGTAAATCCTCAATTTTACTATGTTATATTTTTTCCAAATTGTGAAAGCCTATGTCTGGAGCACTGCACTCTATGGATGTGAGACCTGGACCATCACAAAGAGAGACAGAGAGCGATTGGAGGCATTTGAAATGTGGTGCTGGAGACGTATGGAGAGGATAAGCTGGACCGCGAGAGTGACTAATGAGGACGTTCTGGAGAGGATTGGGGAACGGAGAGGCCTGACGGAGACGATAGAGAATAGGAGGGGAAAAATGTTTGGACATTTGTTGCGCAACGACGAACTATTGACGGTTGTTGTTGAGGGAAAGATGGAAGGAAGGAGACAGAGAGGAAGATCGAGAATGGCATTCTGTGACCAAATAAAAAGAAAGGTTAATGTGAGCAGTTACAGGGAGGTCAAGGAGTTGGCTATGGACCGTGAGGAGTGGAGGAGGCTACACCGACAAGAGCATGGCTCTTAAATAAAATGATGATGATTTTTTCCAAAGTGATTTCAACACTTTCACTGTTATGCGGATTCAACCAAAGCCATTTGAGTTTGTATAGACACTTAATTGTACTCCATTTGTATTACTAGTTACCTGTAGGCAATGTACTCGATTTGTATTACATGTTACCTGTGGGCAAATTACTGGATTTATTACTTGTGAGCAGTGTACTATGTCTGGCTTAAATTTTATAAAAGAAATAAATAAAATCCTTTTTTCGTATCAGGTTCTCATAATCGGCGGCGGCATCGCGAACTTCACAAACGTGGCGGACACTTTCCGTGGCATCATCACCGCCATCGAGACGTATAAGGACGCGCTTATCCAATACAACGTCACCATCTTCGTGAGAAGGGGCGGACCCAACTACCAAGAGGGACTTAGGTAAATATAACCAACCTCCCTCTTACAACTCGGTGACTTAGGCCGGCCATACACTGCTGCTTCAAGCTGCGACCACACAGCAAGCTGCATAGCAGACTTCTATGTACACACATAAACAAAACCGCTCGAGCTGTTGCGACTGCTTCAGGCGGTTTGCAGCGCGGTGAAATTTCATCGTGCAGTCAAGCAGTCGCCAGGCATACACTTACTCGAGCTGTCGACTGTTCTCGCGCAGTTGCCTCTAATAATAAGTAAGAATAAGTTTATTTATAAAACACTGACCCTTGCACGTCTACAGGAAGAAATTTCTTATGCGTTTTCCTTTTAAATGTAATCTGTGCTTTTTCCCGTGCAAATAAACAAATGAAATAAAAAATAAATGTAAAACCTTTTAGCGTTGCGAGCTTAAGAAATGTATTTTACAGTCATGAATCTGGACATATTTAATGACCGCTGGCTATCTTTAAAAGTAAAATTAAAAATGTTTTATTCAAAATTCTGAATGATCTGTTTTGTACCATATCGTTTATTTTATATTCTAATGTAGGGATTATATTGTTTTTACTTTTTTCTTTTTATCTGTAAAGAAAGTAGGGATTTTTATAATTATAAAGAGTAATTGAATAATTCATTTTCATATATACTTGAATCTGCATAGCTTGCTGTGTTAGCCAATAAGTATAGTGTATCTACCTTTAAACTTTGTAACGTATTGTACGTTTACTTTTGTTGTATATGCATCATGTTGGCTATACAATAAATAAATAAACAAATAAATAGATGGGTTAAATATGTTGATTTTATTTCATGTTTTTGACAGACAAATGCGCGAAGTTGGACACCGGCTCCGCATCCCGTTGTACGTGTTCGGGCCAGAAGCCAACATGACTTCTATTGTTGGACTGGCTTTGGGCCAGTGCGTCATTCCAAAAGAGCATCAGTTGGACTACGCTCCCAAACAGCTGCCTAAACCACAGCCCTATGTGAGTATAAGCTTTATAACGTCCGTATCCGCATATGACTTTTTAACAAACATTACTATGTCTTTACCTCTAACCATGGACTAATAACTCAACATGACTGTTAATCACCATACTACAGTCAAAATTACGTTATACAGAGGGTTTTTTTAATGGGACAGTATGGGTTTACAAATCCATCAAAATGTCTGGAGCACCGCACTGTATGGATGCGAGACGTGGACAATAACATTAAAAGACAGAAATTGGAGTCATTTGAAATGCGGTGCTGGAGGCAAATGGCAAAAATATAATTAATTGAAAAGACATCAAATGAGGAAGTTGTGGAAAGGGTTGGAGAGAAGTCTTTTAAATGCAATAGAGAGGAGAAGGGGGGAAAATGTTTGGACATTTGTTACGTAATGACGAATTTGTGAAAGTGATAATTGGGGGAAGGATAGAAGGGAAAAGAAAAAGAGAAAGACCGAGAATGGCGTATAGTGAACAAATAAAAAGGAAGATCAAAGTGAACAACTATAAAGAGGTCAAAGAACTGGCTATGAACCGACAAGAGTCTAGCTCTTAAATAAAAGGATGATGGTGTACAAACAAACTGTCTAGGGACCATTAAGTCTTTTATTTGTGAAAATAATTTTGGCATAGTAAATTTTTTGGTCAAGCGTGAATTGTCCATAAAAATGAATAAAATTGATCAAAATTAATAAGATTTTGTTCAATTTGACCAACTTCTGCTGTCCCGTACATCTACGAAACCGTGTATGTATTAAGCCGGATTTACGTTTGTCTGACGTGTCGCGTCGTGACGCGTCAAAATGTATCGGTTTTATACACTCAACATAAGTCGTCATGTCAGATTGCGACCACAAATACACTTCCGGACACATAATTCGAGCCACCACGCAATTTTCAATATTAAGTGCCCTAGGCTTAAACAATGTTTGATTGATCACAAACTATTATGCAATTTTGAAACTAGTATACTAAACGTCTTTTCCATAAGTCCTTGTTGGGAATTTGGATTTGCAAAACCGGGAAAAACATTTTCTTCGATGATAATACTATTTTTGAATTCTAGCCCTTTACGACAAAAACGACTCCCGGAGCCGCGAGGCGGCTCGAATGATATGTCCGGGAGTCATCGAATATATAACCAGAAATAGAGACGAAATGTCATTTAATTTGTTTGAAAACTATTCCGCCAAATCATTACTGTGATAACTGCGCTCTGATTGGCCAGCCCGAATTCGAAACAATTGACGGATATCGTCAATTGTTTCACTGCAAATCGACCAGTTAACATGAGCTTTGCTATAATGGACGAAAATTGCAAAATTTCTTATTTAATAACCGATGAAATTTGATTCCGTTTGTTTTGTAATTAGATGTTTTGCTGTTTTTGCCCACATCACCGAATGGAACAGCACTCCGTTGTTATAGATATTATCTTTATTACAATAAATACAAAATATTTTTGGAATTACGGAGACGTACACACAGTCAGTTGTTGGCGCTGTACTATTTCAGAATTGTGGTTAAAGAATATTTATTTCTCTTAAGAATATAAATTCACTTACAGAGAAAATTTAAGATCTTACTTCAAAACTTAATAGTAAAGCGCACTAAAATCTATACAACCATCACCATTCACTGCGTATTAAGAAAAATAATGTAGGTGTCTACCTACAAATAATATATAAAAAATTAAAATCATACGTTTTGAGTTGAATTTATCTGCAATTAGTTCCGATGAAGGTAGTAGTTGCACGATGCGGAATTGATTTCAGAATTCTAATTTGTAATTTCAGTGCAAACGAGAGTTGATATTTATAAGTGATGTATCACTGATGAGTTACCAAGAATGTGTGGCCCTTATTTTGTCTCTATTTCTGGCTATATACTCGACGCCGAGAGTATATAATATAATGTAACCATATTAAATGTATGATGCCGATACCGTTTTGATGCGCCACGACACGATACGTCAGACAAATGTACATCCGGCTTATCTTTTTGTGCATCATGACGCGCATACACTCACATTTATAGCCTCGCACTAGAGAAACCCTGTATCGCGGGTGCCATGAACACGCACATAGACAACTACGAATTACACCCAAACTCACGAGAGAATTAAATGTAGGCCATACAAATGTTTTTCCCGGCCCGGGAATCGAACCCGGGACCTCTGCGTGACAGTCCAGCATAGGCAGCGTTCGGCCACGGAGGCAGTTAAGTGTCATAAGGACAGTAATTTTAATTATTCTTTTTTATTTGCAGCCCAAGCCAAAGCTAGAGATTCCAGAGTTAACCCACAAGCTTCTTGATTTGGTGTGCTCTGAGTCGCCAACGCGACTGGATCTGGGCCAGCAGGTGTCTACTGCCAGACCGCTATTTAACGACAGGACGAAAGCCATCATTTGGGGCATGCAGAATCGAGCTATACAGGTAATTATTTGTTTATTTACTTGTTAAGCGAGTGTTGTATCCCGGCTGAATTCCGTCTAAACGGACCAGAGGTGTCTTCGGTATTCTCCTTTTGTTCAATAATACTTCTTAGAAACACAAATCTTCCGGTTTATTGAAACTTATGAAAGTGGACTGCATACATTTCCATAACAACTTATTTGAACACTTTATTTCTATGTCCATCTAACTTATCGAACAACCAACCGAATATGACTGAATGCAATTACAATTGCGAGTGACCAATTATAATAAGTCTCACATATATTACCATATATCACCGATACGGTCTCTCCCACACCGTACCGGCCTTATCAATTCACCGCGCCACTCGACCAATCAGAGCTCCTGATTTATGGCGTGTTCAAATTAGCCGCTGTTAGACGCTGCTGAAGTGCGACCAAATTTTTAGTTATTTATCTTTCGACTCAGTTACGCGATGGATTCTGACGAAAAAACATTACTTTTATCCAGTTCTTGGGGCACACACTTCACATATAGGTGTTAAAAAATGACTCACCTGCTATGTTTTTTTCAGTTGTAGTTTCAGTTTCAAAATTGTCAATAAATTTTGGACATACATTTTCCCATACCTTTTTTTAAATTCAGTCGATTGGTATAGCTGGCGGAACTGCTATCCCATATTGCAGGGTGTTGTTTTACATTCTCTATAAATTTTTCAATTCGATTTTCGTCTGTCGTGGTTAATTTGAAAAATTAACATATACACCTCACTACCCGTGACTGTAAGCGAGCGTGACTGCAGCGCTTCTTGAAATTGTATGAAAAGTGACAGTCGCTGCTGTAGCGCGTCCATCGAGTATATAACCAGAAACAGAGACGGAATAGGGGCATACATAATTGGTAACTCATCAGTGATACATCACTTATAAATATCAACTCTCGTTTGCACTGAAATATAGACAGCGCCAACAACTGACCTGTGTGTACGTCTCCGTATATTCCAAAAATATTCTGTATTTATTGTAATAAAGATAATATCTCTAACAATGGCGTGCTGTTCTATTCGGTAGTGTGGGGAAAAGCAGCAGTACATTTAATTACAAAATAAACGGAATCATAGTTCTTCGGTAATGAAATCCGTAATTTTGCAATTCTCGTCCATTATAGCAAAGCTCAAGTTAACTGGTCGATTTGAAGTGAAACAATTGACGACACCCGTCAATTGTTTCGAATTCGGGCTGGCCAATCGGAGCGCAGTTGTCACAGAAATGATATGGCAGAATAGTTTTCAAACAAATTAAATTACATTTCGACTCTATTTCTGGTTATATACTCAATGTCATGAGTACAGTATCGATATTTTTGATTCGATACTGTGTCCCTAGCTGTGAGTGGCACTGTAACTGTTATGGACAGGCGTGTAGCTTACCATGCCTGATGGTAAGCTACACGCCTGTCCATACGACTTCTCTGCAGTTTCGCCTCTACTATTCCGAGTCACCAATAAGCCTCTTGTCACGCTTGTCGATTGAATCCAACGTAGCCAGTTGGTACTTAAGCACATTATTACATAGTCATTTATATAATGTATTCCAGGGCATGTTGGACTTCGATTATATCTGCCGACGTGCAGAACCTTCGGTGGTGGCAATAGTGTACCCCTTCACGGCAGATCATAAGCAGAAGTATTACTTCGGAAACAAGGAAGTTTTTATACCTGGTAAGTTTTTGTGAGATAGACTAAGGGATGCTTAAGTTGTGGAACATGTAGAGAGTATGAAATTCAAACGTATGAAATACGTAAATTAGTGCACGTCGTTACAAGGTTATGTTGTGTAGATTTTTATGAACTGTCATCCTACAATTTTTTTATGGATAGAAACATCGATTACGTTTTTTTATGGATAGAAACATCGATTACGTTTTATAAATTACGTACGATTACTTATTATAAGGGCAGATTTGCTTACCTTTAAAATAAAGATTATTTGACTTAAACGTAGGCTAACCGTTATGCTATTATTATTATTATTCATTAAATTTTATTTTAATATACCATAAAATTGATGTTTTTTCCGGAAAAGTTACTTATTTTTGGGAATAGGGCGACGTATGTGATGTTGTCTAATATTTATTTATTATTATTAGTCTATAATTACCTTTTTATATCAACTGAACTAAATAGAACACCCATAGTAAACGATAGACATTTGTCAAATGGTTTTATTTTCGTTTGTGAAAAAATAAATTCCTAAATAAGGGCAGTGTACATGTCGCTCGACTTTAGCAAAATAAACCGTATTAGTAAAATGGGAAATAATTGTATTGGCGCTGAGGTAGTAACGTATCTTAAAGGTGTGTGAAGATCTGGCAAATGCCTCTGTTTGCGAAAGTGTCGCTAGCTGCATGTGCATTACGTAGTAAGATCTTCGCGTGCCGTTTTATAATTCTAAGTGACGGGACTAACAAGTCGAGCGCCTGCTGGTAAGCGACACGCCTGTCCATAACAGTTGCAAGTTGATAAGTCTCATGTTATATTATACTTTTACACACACGTTATGTATGTATGTATTGTTGGGCACTCGAGTCCGTGCTTCACTCATATTGGGCTTGCTGAAAACCAGCGCTATAGGTAGGATATCCTGCCGGTAGCTAAACGATGAGCAAGTCCCGTTTGTGTGCGCCGCGACACTCATTGACTTTTATTATTATTCGTATTATTATTGTGTGTTTACTGTGATGTTGTGTGATTAACATAATCTCAGTATAGAGTACTAAAAAAACCGACCTCGAAAGTACGTGGAATTGCGTCTATTTGCTAAGATTTATTGGACTTGACACAAGAGATAATAAAAATCGGTTCTCACTATTCCAAAGTATATTGAGAGAGAAAAACGCCTTGAATTGGAGAATAGCAAAACCAACCATTAAAATAATTGCTCCTTAAGTAAAATTTAGGCGCTACTCTTAGAGGTGGATGATTTTCTTCAAAATTAAATGGAACCACTATGGAGGTACCTTATTTCCAACAAAAAAAGAATCATGAAAATCGGTTCACAAATACCGGAGTTATCGCGTAACATATACAAAAAAAACATACAGTCGAATTGAGAACCTCCTCCTTTTTTTGAAGACGGTTAAAAAGCAAATTGCATTTTTGTGCGAATTACTTTTTTTGGTGTATTTGTTGTTATGCTATAATTATAAGTTTATAATGTTATAATATCGCGCTGTTAATACAATAATTTTGTGCGTAAAATCATACATTTTTACCAGCGATGCACAGACGGAGGCCGACTATTACGTAACATAGGAATACTGGAACCCGTTGCTCATCGAACCCGCAATGAGAAATCCGCGAGTAATTGGGCCCCGATTTTACGAACACCTACCCACAAGTCTAAAAAGTGTTACAAATGACGAAGTGTTTTGTTCCTGACTGAAATACCCTTTTTTGGATAATGAATTCTACAGTGTAGAGGAATTTCTTGTAAAGAAATTGTAGTTATATTTTTTATTTTTTGGACGTTTGTATTTTGAAAATATTTAAATTATTATTTGTATTTTTGTAGTTCGTATTTTTCTTCATTTCTCTTTTAAATTAACAATAAAATTACTATTTACATTAATGACGATCATGTTATCCCTTGACATTATATTTCGAATTGTAATATTATAAAATTGATAATAAGAAATAAGAATGAAACTATTTTTCCGGATTTAAATCGCGTATATTTGTTTTTTCAAACAACAGTCAACCGTGACCATGGGACCTGTAAAGGGCCCGAAACGTCGGTTTGTTTGAAAAAACAAATATACGCGGTTTAAATCCGGAAAAATAGTTTCGTTCCTATGTATAACAATCGCGAAAACCTAAGAACTCGATAATAAGAAATAAATTATTCTATTCTATAGTGTATTAACTCAAAAAGTGTATTTTCTCAGAATTACTCGTTTTCTGTGAAAGATCTGTGTAAATTTATGTATAGGTTATTTCCTACTTGCCAAAATATACATATTTAAAAATAAAAGAGGAAAAATAATTTAACATTTTTGAATAAGGACTATTTTGGCCAGAACTGGCTCAAATAAAGCGTGGCTTATTTTGTGTTAAGTAGACATCTTTTAATTGTTTTTTACAATATTCTAACGACGGTTTTATTGACCTGTAGAGAATCAAATGTTACGTCCAACAATGGTATAATCTCGAATTTCACATATTTTGAGTTACAACACTATTGTAATAGCAGTGAATGATAGTTTTTAAGCTCATTCATGTGTGTCTTGGCGAACACAATAAAATTTTGTGTGCCTGTAATTTAATTTATTTAGTGTTGCCATTCGAACGGCGTTTGTACGCAATTGTTTTTTTTTTCTGCTTCCAGTGTTCTCCGACATGGATGTGGCTATGAGGAAACACCAGGAAGCAACAGTGTTGGTCAATTTCGCTTCTCTACGATCTGCCTATGACAGCACAATGCAGGTATAATTCTATTTAATAATACTCCCCTATCCACATACTTTGAGCTAGTCTTTTTTTTTAAATATTAGTTTCACGGCATCGGAATAAATCCATCAAGCCATATTTTGAACAATTTTTTCCCTATCTTTTTAAATAAAACTTTCTTCTTTCAATATGTTCTTCTAAGTATTTGAAGGTATCTATATCTCTTCAATTGTGGAAAGAATGTATGCATATATTTGTTCACAAGTCTTCGTATTCTGCAGTAAAGATGGCAAGAGGCGGGGGGTGACTGCTTCTTATAGATGGCCTACTAAAGATTCATAAAGAGCTAGGTATAGTCTGTATTTTATAAAGACGGAATAAATTAACATTTGCAGGGTTGCCAGTTTTCATGAAATTTGAAATAGTCATGTAGTTAAACTTTTATTGAATTGATATTCAATTACTTTTATGTGACATTACTCCACGAGTTTGTCATAATTATTAATACAAAGATCGAACACTCAGAAAAAATTCCTTCGATCCGGTCGGATTCGAACCGACGTCTTCTAGCATACCGTGCCAGACGCTATACCAACTAAGCCACGGCACGAACCAGCGGACCTCACTTATTTTTCTATGTGCTTGCGTCGTATCTTTGTATTTGGTTTTTCTACGACTTTTTAGCGGATCGAAGGATTTTTTCTGAGTGTTCGATTTTTGTATTAATAATTATAACGAACTAGTCATGTACTTGTTGTCGACAGTTTTATCGATAAATTGTGAAAGAAGGTAAAATTTTGCCAAAAATATCTTAATTTTGAATGTTACGATGTTCTAATAATAATAATGTTTACCTGCAAATAAATACAAATAAATATTTGTAAAAACACAACTTGTGTAGAAGTTGACATGTGATGAGGAGAGATCGGAATTAAGGGAGTTAATTTAGCCAAAGTATGAACGTTTAGTATGGAGTATAGTTTAGTAGCTAGGAGATCTACTATCTCCTTGTGAAAGAGTTCGTCCAGGGAAGTACTGTACCGCCGCCAAGCTGTAATGTGAGCATTACTGCGTTCCGGTTTTAAAGAGTAAGGGAGCTGAAGAAATTAAAGGTCCATGGGACTTGTCAACTCATGTCTCAGGGTGACGGGCGCAGTGGCAGTGCCCCTCAGACCTTTATGGTTTACTATAAGTGGCACTGCAACTGTTGTGGACAGCCTTGTCGCTTGTGATTGTGATATTATAAAAAAAATGGACATATTCATTTTGTGATATGACCAAAAAATCCCGCTATTCATATTACAATATCAATCTTTGTTGTCTAAGTACCTATAGAAACTCGACTATAATATATTTTTTTAAACAATAATTTGTAGCAAATACGTAGTAGTAAATAATAATGTAATTTGTCGCCATTGTACTCGAATTTCAATAAATAATAGGTATATCGTCGCCTTACTGTCTCAAACTCGTATCCATCGAGTATATAACCAGAAATAGAGACGAAATGTCATTTAATTTGTTTGAAAACTATTCTGCCAAATCATTAGTGTGACAACTGCGCTCCGATTGGCCAGCACGAATTTGAAACAATTGACGGGTGTCGTCAATTGTTTCACTTCAAATCGATCAGTTTAACTTGAACTGTGCTATAATGGACGAAAATTGCAAAATTACATATATAATATTTAATTACCGATGAAACTTGATTCCGTTTGTTTTGTAATTAGATGTTTTGCTGTTTTTCCCCCACATCACCGAATGGAACAGCACGCCATTGTTAGAGATATTATCTTTATTACAATAAATACAGAACATTTTTGGAATATACGGAGACATACACACAGGTCAGTTTTTGATGCTGTCTATATTTCAGTGCAAACGAGAATTGATATTTATAAGTGATGTATCACTGATGAGTTAAGGAATGTATGGCCCTTATTTCTGGTTGTATACTCGATGCTCGTATCTTATAAAGAGTGATATTGCCATCTCATGGCAAAACTTTCTGTTTAGTTTAAATTTCTTATCAAGGTTGTTAATTTGGATGCTTTACTTTAAGAATAGGTAAAAGGCAGTGTGTGAATATGAAGGAGATGAGAAATCAGCCTGCAAAATTTGTATATACAATACATTTTTTGCATTTCAGTTACTTTGTGCTTTTAGATACGAGTTTGAGAAAGTAAGGCGACGATATTCAAATGTAATCAGTTCCGAGGAGTCCCGGTATTTGTAGAAGAGAATATCCACATTAATCTTTAGTTTAGCTAAATTAACTCACTCAGTTTTCGATCACTGTAGATAGTTAACACTTCGAAACTTGGTTTAATCACGTTGTAAGAAAAATACACCGGGGGTGA